ACCGTCCTGCAACCCAGATTATCCGTGCTTGGCCTTCGTCATTCATGAGATGGATACAAGCCTAGCACGGATTCTTCTGGTGGTATGGAGCTTCGAATATTTTCACCAGACACTTGCACTCGAAATTGAAATGAGTTCGAAAATTATAAACCAAGATATTCCTCAAAACTCAACTTCTATTTTAAATGTATAGGGCAAATATGAAAAACTATAGGGGATAAAATGGCATGGGACATAGAGGACTAGTCGAGTAGAGTTTTGTATAACTTATTAAGTTAAAATGTATAGAACTTTATTTGGCCTTCTCATTTCTAGACGTTAAAGCGTTCAATAGCAACGGTTTGCAGAGGTGTCTAGGACAAACATTACCTATGCGACTTGGTTTCATCTTGGGAAATCGATCTAATGTTTTAAGGAGACCAAAGAGCAAGTTGGTTGTCACTGAAAACATGAAAAGGACGATGAATATGTTGGAGTGAGTTCGGAGGGAGTAGGAGCAGAGGGTTATTAGCGTCTGACAAAACAATCTCAAGATTCTTGTGCAATAAGAGACTAAGTAAGAGCGGTGGTACAGAAGCCTCCTTGATGGAGTGATTGTGAGGTCTGACCGGGCACAACGCGGTGGTACCGAGGAGGAACGAGTCAGACGTCAAGTTGGTGGAGAAATGCGGCTGACGTGGCGAGACGAAGGGAAGGTGACGGTTGCGGTAGGCCAGACAAAGTGTCTTTATGAGTTTGTGGAGCTGGTGTCGTGTGAAGCAAGTCCGAAATGAGTCATCTCTATTCCATACCCTGCGGGATATGAAGGTCATTGTGTGATTGCTGTGACATGAATGACCTGGTTTTAGGTCGGCTCTAGAGTGGTTTCAGATGTTTGATCCGAATTCGGGTTGGCAAGCCCCGAGATTTTAGTTGCTAAGCTGGGTGCAAATGTCTAGCCGGTGGTATGAGAATGAGGGCGTGTAGCGTTCAGGGGGCCTGAAGAAATAGGCAAAGCTCGATGGGAGAAGGCCTGTCACACAAAACGGTACCTTTTGCGTTGGGTTACCGTGTTGGTTAAAGTTAGTCTGGCAGTCAAGCGATAAGTGAAGAGGTGAAAAGGACGCAGCTTGGGAATTAGCTTCGGCTTTGTGAAACGGGCTAGAGGACTTAATGGGAAATAAATTGTTCGACCTTGGTTTCGCAACTTGGTCATATTATTGGGGGGACTTT